AGGAGGAGGAGGAGGAGGAGGAGGAGGAAAAGACGAGCAAGAAGGTCATTTTCTACGTGATTCATCAGCATTGCAAACTCTCTGCCAGTCCCGCAGCTGCGCTGGGGAAAAAAGCTTTCTTTCCTTTAAGGGAAAAAGGATTAGCCCATTTCAAATCATTGGATCCACATTGAGCTGTTAAGTCAAAAGGATTGAGGGGGATTTGGAAGGCGCAAACTTCAACTCTTCACATGTCACTGATCGATTACAAGGTTTGCGTTTGCTTCACCTCCCTCTTCCTTTTCTAGCAATAATTATTTTGAAAATAAACTCTGGAGGAGAGGCAAAACTTAAGAGATAGATTTTTTCCCCCTCCCACAAACAGCAGGGGAATGTGACTTTCTTTTTAAAAGGCGTTCAATTAATTGCTTAAGGTTCTGTTCACTGCAAACGTCAGAGATTTTACTCCTTGCATTTTACAGTTTTGGCCCCATCGTTTAGCATAGGCTTTTTACACCCTTGCAAGCTATACATTACACACATGGTGCACGTATACGTTTTTGGGGCCTTTGCTGTCTCTCTGCATCTTTTGACTCGACCTGCTTATAGGTGGAACCAGCCCCAAACTATAAGGTCCATTATTCGCCTAATCTCATTCCGTAAGATTAGAGTCCAAGCAAGTTTTGTTATTGCAAATCTGGTGGGAAACCCCAAATCACTCTGTGTTAATGCCAGGGTGGATATTTCACAGGGAGAAAGGTATGACGATTGGCTGATACAAGTAATGCCCTCTGTGTCTGTGCTCCATCTTTTAAAAAATTTATATTCTCTCGTTTTTTAAATTTTTATTAGCTTCTCCGTAGCCAATGACCAGGTATGAAAAATGCTGGTCTAATAAACAAATATTATATTGCTCTTGCAGCAGTTGCCTAAGGTCGGTTTCTCTTCAAATCCATGGGGACTAGGGACTTGCCTTCCTGGGTTTCAATGCAAATGAGAGCAAATAAAGCAGTTTCCCAACCATGCCAATTTCCAGGTGTGTGGACTTCAACTCCCAGAATTCCACAGCCAGCATAGCCATTGAGGAGAATTCTGGGAGTTGAAGTCCACGCACCTGGAAATTGCCAAGGTTGGGAAATGCTGAAATAAAGGAATAACAACATCACGCTCAAGTCAGGACCTGTTCTGGGATTAACATATTAAAACAAGCGTGTTCGGTTGTGGTGCCCAAACCTAGTTATGTAGAATTGAGACACTGCTCTACCAATGCTTCACTTGAGGTCAGGTTCCAGAATGTGACCACTTCTTATCTGATATTAGTTGAGAAAAATGATCTATTGATTACTGGTTTTGTGTATTAAAGAACTGCTTTAATAGAAATAATAGTAAAACAGGTAAAACAAAGGTAAGAGTTTAAAAGTAACACAACTACTGGTATATTGACAATGTTTGACTGTCAGAACCCTCATTTTAAATGTTTTTTTTCTTTTTCTCTTTTTCTCTTCTTTTCTTCTTTCTTCTTTTTTGTTTCTTTCTTTTTTCCCCCTCTTCTTTCTTTCCTTTTTCTCTATCTCTTTTCTCTTTTTTCCTTCTTTCCTTCTTATATATATATATGTTTTTGTCAGATTTATGTTTGAAGAATTTAATTTTCTATATTATTTGTTATATTTAATGTAGTCTGTATATAGCATTTTACAATAAAGTATTTGGGGGGAAAAAAGGTTCCAGAATGTGGAGGGATACAGAGGCAGGGGAACCAACTGGCAGCTGACATTTATTCTCCTTAAGTGGTGAATCTGGAATCCATTCATGAAGGCCCCAGCAACTTGGCATCAGTTGAAACCAAGCTGGAAGAGAGATGCTCTACTCCAGATGTTAAATGGGGTCTCCAACCCCTGGGATTCCCAGGTGAGTCCCCAGAGGGGGATTGTCAACAGGTTCTACTTACTCTTCACGGCTTCGATCTTGTAGGGAATGTCCAAGTTTCCGCTTGAGGCCAAGGCGCCCAGGAACGCGGCTACGTCGGTGGCGCTCTGGAAGCACTGCGAAGAGGACTGGATGCACTGGCGGTTGTCAATCTCCAGGTGAACAATTGACCTGCAGGTTTTGGGAAGGGAAAGATACAGAAATGAGCAACAGTGCTCCAACTGGAAAGAGACGACGGGCTCTTACACTGTTTTCTACCATCTCCACCCATCAGCGCAGGACTTAGCGACATCTCCATCAGTCCCAGGGCTGCTTAAAACTACTCCCAATTGCACCCTAACCCAGCCGTAGCCAGGCTGCATATTGTACCGGGTGACTCCTTATCAAGAGAAGTTCAGCACAGGCCTTTGGGCTATTCTCCTTGAACATCCTATCTTGAATATTCGCAGAATATTCTTCTCTCTGGCCACCTGGGCACAATTTCTGCTCAGCCCAGCTGATCAGGCCTAGGTTTGTTCTCCTGAAAGGGCAGGGCCACGCAATGCAGAGTCCCTCATCATCCTGCGGCAGGTTTATGCCTGGCCCTGAATGGCCTCGAACCCCACAATCCTGCCCTAGTCGCCTCAGTTCAGTTCTGGACGTGGTGCTTACCCACAGATGTCCACCTGGTCCAGCTCTCTCTTTGGCCTCCCACTGACCCTCGAGTGGAGGGCTGCCTTCATTCTGAACACCACTTCAGACACCTCTGGCCAGCTGTCCACAGACCTCTTGATGTGGTGCTTTTTCAGTTCTTCCGGATTCCCAAAATAAGGGAAGATCATGTATTCGCCCTTGGGGTCCTTCTTGAAAACCACGTTGGTGTGCAGAACGCGGCTGAGTTCCCGCAGGAAGTTCAGAGAGTTGTTCCTCAGGATCTCAGGGCTGATCAGCACCACCACCACCAAGGTCCCATCCGCAAGCTTCTCGGGCACGTTGTTGGCACAGTCAAGGCCGTCCCACTCACACTCTGCGCTGTTGCACCCCTGGTCACAGTTGCCGTCAGAAAAGTGATCCTTGCAGTACTGATCGTAGAGAGGGCTGCCGGGACAGAGAGAGGAACAAGTGAGGCCAACAGGACCACTCAAGGCCATGGATCGTCTGGACACACAGGAGGCCGACTGCTATTGCTCCCAAGTAAGCCACTCAAACTCATCTTCAGGGGCCAAGAAGAGGGGCCCCATTTCAAAATTCACACCCAAGGCAAGGGGGAGCAGGACAACTCAACAAAAAGGGGGCTGAACAACGAAAAAGCTTGAAAGGTTTCAATGAAAGGACACACAAAAATTAAAAAATGGCAGTGGGTGACACCTTCCTCATCTCTTCGCTGCATGAAGCTGACATCTTGCAAAGCTGAGAGTAGACCAAAGCTCCAAGGTAGACCAGACTAGGAAACCAGAGTTATGCAGGCTAATTTATTTCATAAATATTATTTTTTAATTATAAGGCTATAGTAAGAGGCTTTTGCAAGTCTGAATGCCCTTCCCCCTTCCCTCCCTTGTCTTCCTGAGAACTAGGGGGGTCTTGTCTGAGATGCTGCCATGTTCTCACAAAGTCCCAGGTTCTAATCTTCTTTCAGCTGAGTGTCAGTCTTATCAGGTAGACCAGACCAGAAAATCAAGTCCACCAGAAGGCTGAAACTACCTTTATGAGATTGGCTCTAATAACAGAATCTCGCAAATCTGATTGTGCCAGACCTCCTCCCCCTTCTTATCCTCATGTGAGTTAGGGTGGTCTCTGCTGAATGTGGATCCTCACCTGAATTAGGGTGCTTCCAAGTGTTATCTCGCTTCTCTGGACTTAAAAATGCTTCACCCCCTTCGGCCAGGTAACGGTTCTTGCGTATCTCCATCAAGGTCATTTCCCTTACTCTCTACGCTGAGGGACTGTCCCCCCCTCCTCAACCCAAGAACCAGGCTGATCCAGTGGGGAAGGTGTTGGGCTAGAAGTGAGAAGTCCTGGGTTCTAGTCTCCGATCAGCCATTGAAACCCCTGGGAGTCTTTGAGCGGTCTTTTCTCCTAGCCCAAGAGCCCGTGTGGCGTAGTGGTGAAGCTGCTGGACTAGGGGCAGGCAGACCCACATCCTAGCGCTCCCTTAGGCATGAAAGCCAGCTGGCAGACCTTAGGCCAGGCGCTCTCTCTCAGCCCTGCCACAAGCCTGCTCATAAACCAACCCCCTTGTGGCATCATGTCCCGATCGCTCTGCTGCAAGGACTGGGTGAGCGCAGGGGAAAAAGAAGTGGGCCCTGCATCGATCCTCAGGGCTGCAGCAGAGAGCGCCTCCACGGGCATTCCTACCTCCTTCTCCTCCCCCCTTGTCGGAAAGAGAATAAAGGCAGCCCACTTGAACCGCCTCAGCCCGGCGAAGCGGAGGAAAGGCACGCCACACTTTGCAACCCGGCCCCGGTCCCTTACTTGCACTGCAGCTCGGCCTTCTGGCAGTCAAAGCCATCGTACAGGCAGCCGCTGTTGTTGCACTGGACGTCGCACTTGCCGTCGTTGAAGTAGTTCCAGCACTGCAGAGCCTGGGTGCAGTTCTTCCAGGGGTCATTGAAGTTGAGTGAACAGTCCCCGCCGTCCCACCCGCAGGCATGGTTGTTGCACCTGGCATCGCAGATCTTGTTGCCAGCCAGGCTGGGGCAGCCCGGAATTTCGCACGTCTCCTCCAGGAGGGGAGGGGTGATGTCCTGGCCGGGGCCTCCCCGGAACTCAAAGTCCAGGATGTGGCAGTTGAGGCCGTTGAAGTTGACGGGACAGAGGCACCGGTAGTGGGGCGGCTCCTTGGTGAACTGGCAAGTGCCCTCGTTGTAGCAGGGGCCGGAGTGGCACGGGCTGTGGGCTGGGAACTGGCACTCGGGGCCCGTGAAGCCCGGCGCGCACACGCACTTGGACTGCTGGGCAGTGGAGACGCAGGTCCCGCCGTTCAGGCACCACAGCACCCCACAGCTGCGCAAGTTGTTCTCGCAAGTGGCGCCATCCAAGCCCTGAGAGGGGAAGAACCGCAGGATCCTGCAACTGAAGGAGCACTGAGGCGGGGGCTATCCAGCCTCTGCGGGAACGCATCCAGCAAAGGGGGAACACGCTGCCCTCTGGGTCGTCAGGCCCACTGTCACTGCTCTTAGCTTTCTCCCAAGTGCCATCAAAAGCGGCCTTCCTAGGATTTACAGGCTGGTTCCACGTTCTCCCCTCTGGAAGAAGAGGACTTCCCGTGCCTTTTGTATCGGGAGAAGAGCCTCCCTCCCGGAGTTGTGGGCGCTCCATCGCTGGAGGTTTTCAAGAAAAGACTGGACAACCACTTGTCCAAGATGGTCTGAGGACTCCGGCCTTGGGCAGGGGGTCGGACTAGAAGACCTCAAGGTCCCTCCAAACCCCAGGATCTCTGATATCCCTGAGCCTCCTCTCCTTGTGACTTGATGGTTCCAGACCTTTCAGTGTCTCTCCTCAGAACTGCTTCCTAATCCCTTCCAGTCCCCGGCCCCTGGTTCCCCTTCTCTGAACCTGACCCCCTGAATCCTTTCAGAGGCCAGAACTGGACAGAGGACTTAAGGTGGGGTCTGACCAACACAGAATAAAGGCCAGGACTTTGGAGAAGGCCCTCCCATGGATCCAGCAAGAACCCACCATGGAAGGGGATGGCCTGTCGGTGGGGCAGAAGAGTCCTTTCCCACCCACCCACCGTCCAGCTCCCGTCCTGGTCAGATGTTGGGCCCCAGGGAACCCTGCGGGCGGGCTAGAGAGCAGCTGGATTTCCCCCAGGCATGATTAAGACAGCATTGCTCATCTTACTGAACCCGGGTTCATACAACCCATTTCACCTGCTTGCTGGATTAATTAATTTCTGCATTTGCACCATACGTGGAATCATAAACTCCCGAGTGGGGTGAGGTGGTACCCTCACATACCCTCCAAAAAGGCGGCCCACCTTGGTACATTTGGGGCAAACACGGCCACTAAGTCTTTAAGAACCCAGTTCGACCCATTCTGCAAACTCAGCCTTTCCATCACGATCCAGATGGGGGGACTGAGAAGCTGGGGCTTCACCATCCTGCTTGCGCCCCCACACTTCTAGGACCCTCCTCCCCTCTGGCCAAAAGCCGGCCACGTACCGGAGGACACCTGCAGATGTAGCCGTGTCGTGTGTTGCTGGCGACCGCGCAGGTTCCCCCGTTCCGGCAGGGTCTACTTTGGCAGCCGTTGACCACCATTTCACAATGCCGTCCTGGAGGGAACCAAAAAAGGGGTACGCGCTCAGCAACCAGTAAAAATAAAACATTACACACTTGCTGTGTGTCTTGCCTTAAGTCAAAATCCACATAATCCTCGGTGGTGGAACTAAAACACTATAAACAGTGGTTATGCCGGGACAGCAACAGATCGAAACTTGGCAACATTTTCTTTAAGCGCTCTGTATTAAGTGATTTAAAAGTAGGAAATATGAATTATTCTGTCCCTCCCTGCATTTTAACAAAGGAAAACGTTACGGGTACATCTTGACGATCATTACAGGAAGAGTATTTCCAGCCATCCCCAGACACAACTTCTACACAGACAAACGCATTTAGAATTAGGGAGTTACTGTCATTTCCTTCCAATTGTGTCAGAGGGAAAACTCTTCTGTAGTTTGTGAAGCGGGTTAAACAAATTGCAGACTGGAAGAGAGGGTCTTCAGGTTCTCCTCAACAAAGAACTGGTGGGAACTACATACGTTCAGATTTTCCGCAACTCAGCGTCAAACCCTCTTCATTTTAGCACAGCCCTTTCAAAGCCCCAAGAAATCAGCCACGGAGTGGATCAGCCACAGCAAGGCAAATTGCTAGCTATTTTTTTCCTCCAAGATAGTTTACAGTAATCCTATAGAATCATCCTTGTGAAGCCCCTAGACATAAATACTCATTTGAGCCCCTCAGACCACACGCAAGCGCAGTGCCTCCTTGCAATTCCTGGAAGCAGCATGTCTTTTTTCAGCTTCCACAGCAGCCTAAAACAAAGTCACTGTTTAAGAGCCACGTTCAAGGCACTTCTTTCTTTACAGGCCCCCACAGAAACCTGGAAAAAGACAAGGGTGCTTTGATGCACAGCGGAGAGGCGCTGTGCTTGCGCTCGGTCTGCAAGGACTCCTTCCTAATCGTTTGCAAAGGGTGCCTCAGTAGAGGTCATTCCAAGAAGGAAGAGGGGTTCAGAGGTACACCCAGAATACCCCAGATGGATGCTCTGGGGCCTTTCCCTTTCTCGCTAACCAACCTCACAGGGTTGTGGTTCTGGGAAACATGGAGGGAACATCCTGGACAAAAGGTGGGTCAGAAATTGGAAGGATGGATGGATGGATGGATGGATGGGTAGGGTAGGGTAGGGTAGGGTAGGGTAGGGTAGGGTAGGGTAGGGTAGGG